TTATTGACCAATATTAATTAAACAAATATGATTTCTCCTTTAATATATTATTCTTATAACATATTAATAAATCATAATAACCTCTCTCTCTTTATTCATTTCTCCAATCAAGTTGCTTTGGTGAAGGCAACCCAAAAGGACCATGCACCATCGGGTCAAGTACATACCAAAATAGTTATGGACTTAGACACTAATCCAACAGTACGTCCTACCTACAGAAATACATTTTATGTACGAAGTCCTTTTCAAAGCTCTGTGTCTTGGGTGCTGCTTGTGCCAAAAGTACTATCATGTACAAAGTCTTTTGACAATTTTTGTGTGTCGGTTACGGGAGTGTACATGAATACTCTATTAGTATTTCCCTATACTTTTATTTTGAGAGAGTTCTGGAGTCAGCATTTCTTTTACGAAGTGATTGACCAAGCTTCATATGTCAGCGTTTTCTCTCACGAAGTAATTAAGGGAACTCTGTAGACTGCCTAATAAAGTGTGTCAGTAATAGACCACTGCTAGGTATGTCTGGTGTTAAATTGCTGGATATGGTGCGTATAGGGGTGAAATACCTCATGTATTCAGACCACAACCTAGGCATTAGTCGGTGTTTCCATTTCCGATGATGGATAGGGTGAGTCTGGGGGTTCAGACCACAACCTAGGCATTAGTCAATGTTTCCATTGTCGGATAGGGTGCATCTGGGGGTTATATACCTCACGATATTCAGACCACAGCCTAGGCATTGATAACTACCACTGACTTAATTGTCTTGTGGTTCTTTCTTTTACGAACGAAGGTTCGTGGTGAAACTTATTCCATTCCCCTCAATTGATGTCTTTATTGATCCTCGTTTGCTACCAGGGAATTTCTAAAGCAGCTTCGTCAGTTTGTGGTTCATATTGATTCCTTAGGCTAGATCTCGTAAGATCATTGTATATGGTCAGTATGTGGGGATCGATGGGATGGAATATATTGTTTTAGAAATATAATTTATATGTGTGGTTTCCCAGGATTGAGATATACTTTATTATCACTTTGTTTGAACTAAGAGCTTTCATTCTCTGTGTTCCTTAGGTGATTGGGTTCACCACGGATATTCGAACTAAGTGTTCATTAGATATTTGAACTTAGTGTTCATCAGGGATAATTGAACTAAGTGTTCATTAAGTATTTGGGAACTAAGGTGTTCATTGGGTAATATTGGAACTAAGTGTTCATTAGGTGTCCTTGAACCAGGTGTTCATTGATTATTGTGAATTGCGTGTTCACTAGAGGTGATCTAAGAACCTTGGTAGCACTAGACTTTGTGCCAGTTCCTTAGGGCAATCCTTAGGAATGAATGGGAGAAGGGTAATTGGTTCTTAGGGTAAATCTTTAAGAAATAAATGGAGATAATGGGGGTGGGTAGTTGAATTGATTGTTTGATAATTAAATATAATAATGATATTATTGTGGGTTGAAAACCCTATATGCTCACTAGGCTCCCAATCCTGACCCACTCAGTTTTCTTTGCATTACAGGTAATGGCACAAAAGTATAAGTTGGTGGACTTGACGAGAGATTTTGGATTATAGGCCAGTAGTTATGAATAAGTGTTGTAAGATCTATTTTGTTCTGTTTATGCTTTTGGTTTGTATTGAACATGACATCCTGCGATATTGTTATATAATGAAAATACATTTCTTTAAAGAAATGCTTTGATATTTTTTATCATATTTTGTTTTAGGAACAAGTTCTGAAATAATTTTCTTTCAACAATTACTATGATTTTAAAAACAAAGCATAAACAAATCGGTCTTTTCTGGCCGTGAAATTGGGGATGTCACACAAGGCAAGTAGAGTCGATCCACAGAGACACGGGATAATTAGTCTATACATCTTTGCGCAAGGTACTATGGTCACCAACAGTAAAGAGGGGGGTTTAGAATGCAATGACTAAACAACCAAGTTAAAAACACACGTAAGCAGCTAAATAAGTGAATTAAATTCAGATTTTGTAAGGACTCCAACTTCATATATGACAACTTAGCAATGTGACTCAAATATGACACAATATTCGTCCAGTTCTATCTAAGTTGGCACTTGAAAGTGCTAATAAGCTCTAACACTTCCCATTCACCACATTAATTAACCAAAACAAGCTCTTTGATTAACCCTAACCTTACTAACCTAATCTAAACAAGCTCTTAGAATTAGATTAAAAGACCGCATGAAGCTTTATGTGAATGTTCCCAACAACGCCTAATACTCATCACAAGCTCGGGAGTGTAAAAGTGTCTGAATACGATTTACACCAAATTCATTCAACAGAGATCGGTTTAATGCTTGTTAATTGTTTAATTTCACAAAACAATTACATATTTTGTAAAAGAGATAACTTGAATGACCTAACCCTAATTCAAATGGCCAATAAGAATCACAATTAGAATCAAACATTCGATTGAAGCAAAATCAAATTCATTAGATAGAAATTAAGAACAAACATCATGTCATATGATTGAAGTCACTACCAAGAAGTCGAAACATGAAATTGGAGAAACTAGGGTTCTAGCCACATATGGCTAGAACAAGATCACAAGTCTAAAAGATGAAAGTAATGTGCAATTACAACTTACAAATACGAGAAATAATGTTTCCAAATGATTACTGATCAAACACTTGCAAAAACCTTTGAAATCCCCTCACAAAATGTGCTCTGATATGTTGTATGTGTGTAAAAATGGCTCTTAACCCGTAACATGAAACATAGGAAAAACTGCCAAAAGTTGGTTTCTGGGTCGAACACGGCCTGTGTTGGACATAGAGTAAAACTGACACGGATCGTGTTCAGCATGGTCAATAGCTCCCATTTTGGTCAACACGACCCGTGTTGATTCTGCAGTGTAAATCCAACACGGCCCGTGTACCCCTCTGACTCCGAATCCAAACTTGATTTTTCCAACTTTTTCGTTCTTCGCCCGATCATCCCGAAATCTTCACCAATGCTTTCGGGAACCTCCCAAAGCGCGTTCCAACCTCCGGTTTACCTGAAAAAGACATGAAAATGTGCAAATAAGGTTGTTCTAGAGACTAACATGAAATATGTTGAAATGCAAGACAAATGAAGGACAATTATGCTAAATAGATGCATAAAATGAGACTAAAAGGTGTGCAAAAAGGTGAACAAATTGCACCTAACAATGCCCTACAATTGGGACTTTCAATCTGGCTTTATAGTAGTTATAAAATGCCCTTTCGTTAGGGACTTACCACCTTACAACATCAACACACCAAGGTTGACACCCCCAAATTCTAACTAAAAGCAGCTTCCAAACATATAAAATGCCAATCATTACCGACTTTCTAGTCTACCTTTACAAAAACATACAAAAGCATACACCAACCACCCTAACTAATTACAATCACTCCTTAACTTCAAAACACAAAAGACCAAGCCATCAAACAACAGTGCAATTGTCATCATGTACCTGCCTATTACCTTCCTTGAATCAAAAACATCTTTCTCACTCTTTACCACCTTACATTTCTCCTATGACAACAGGAACTCCACTTCAACAATCATTGTCCTCAAAATTTTCATCTCAGACAGATCCTCTTTAGCATTTAGTTTTTGCTTCAGAGAATATAGAAGGTTTTTGTAGTACATTTCTTCCTGTTCATCGTCTTTCCATTCAAAGAAGTTACATTTCTTCAACCCAATCTATAAATAATCAATCCATTAAAAAATGAAAATGCTTTGATTTAGATAGTAAATAAAGGTTAAGGAAATTAGCTGCCTTTAATGTACTAACAAAATGGGTTTGATTCACGATCACAAATATTCCTCAAGAAGAAAATAAAATTAGTTTTTTTTTTCAAAATACAAATCTAGCATGACCGACTTTACACGAAGAAACACCACAGTCAAACCCTAAAATACGAAGGTAGCATGATTAGGATTATCGGGACCTACCAAACTGTTTCAACAAATCCAGAAACGCCTCCCATGGTTTGTTATCTTCCAACACGTTCGTTCTTTAGCTAGAACGTCACAATCACAAATCTTTACCCCTTCTCGCACTTGAACACGAGTCACTTGTAGCTGATTCCTTAAAGTGGATGAACTCGAATACATTGTTCTTGAGAATAACAAGAGTTGGTGGAAAGGATTTGACTTTTCAAAAAAGGGTAAGAAACATTTCAATAATGGTCCGAGTCAGAGTTTCAATTAATAAGGGTTGTTGGACGAGTGAGCTTCTTCGACACATCAGTATCCCACGTAAGCTTATTGGACACATCACCCTGCCACAATAGCATTGGAATCGATAAACCGTCTAATTTTTTGGATAATACTGTAATTAAAAGGTAAACATAGAGTTTAATTGTTTAATGTAAAAAAGAAAACTTTAGTGACGGAATTAGTTAAATCTCAAAATTTATTCGTGTGCTACATATCATTTTCCCCAAAATAATACATTTTCTAATAATACCAAAAAGTGATATATAATCGCTTGAATAAAATCCAAAATCAAAGCATAGGAAATAGAGTGGAGCTACCAAACGCTGCAGATAATCTTCCCTGGTTTGCATGGGATGGAATCTTGATATTTTGAGTCACAATTTGTTCTCTGTCAAGATTTTAGATTCATTAACACTCTATATATGTAACCGACCCTGTTGCGTCCCCTCAACTTGACACCTTCCTTCCGATCCAAACACACAAAATCTCCGATCCGTGCGCCTACCCCTTTCCCCACTTTTCTCCTTTCTCCTTTCTCCTTTTCCCCTTTCTCTCTCATCTCTTCAATCCCTCTTTTTTTCTTTTCTCTCTTTATTCTTCTTTTTGTTTCCAGTAAAATAAGCAATAGAAATCAAAGAATCAAAACGGGATTAATGGCATTGAGAAGGAGGTGAGGTTGGGCGACACGCATTGGGAAGGAATCGGAATCTTTTTGCTGCTGAAAACAGGGTTGGATTCGTCCGGAAAAGGAGCTCTAAAAAACAAGTTTTTTTTTTTTTTTTTTTTTTTTTTTTTTTTTTTGTGACTGGTGTTTTGTCTTTGTTCGATTCCCCAAGAAGGGTATAATAGCAGACACAAAGAGAAACAGAGAGAGATGATAAAAGGGCATTGTTAGGGATTAAACTGTTTAGGTATATGTATTGATAGTGAAATGTCTGAATTGGTGGCCCGCACTGGTCGTCATCAGCAACGTTATGAGGCCGGTTGCCGTCTCATCGCCGGGTATACTGTTCTCCCCTTTCTCTTTCCTCTTCGTATTTTAATTTACAAAATTTCCCATTTGCCTTTGTTTAATGTCGAATCCAGAATATTCCCCTAACTATTTCAATCTCTAAGCTTGTTTATAACAACAACCTGCATTCTCTTTCCCCAAATTTCGATAGGTTATTCTCGATTTCTGCTTCTTGTTGTTGAGTTATTCATACATCTGTCAGTAGTCGTGTGTAATCCAGGCAGTCGTAATGAAACAATTTCTATTAAATTGCTTAATTCTCCATTCGATGCTTTCTGTTATCATCTCAAATCTTGCTTTCTGTTCTACTATTCAACTCCAGTAGCGAGTTTACGACGCTATGACAGCTATTGCATATGAAGTATTCACTTCCCCGAGTTTCTCCTTGTTCTGTAAATTAGCTTCTGTGGTAATTGTTAACAAATGTCCATTTTCGTATCTGCAGACTGCAGTTCATATATGAGTTTCAATACTTCTGAAAGTAACTTTCTTTACGATTATGATCAGGTGCATTCCCTTCAGGTTTCGGTACTCTGAAGGCAGTAATGGAAGCAAATCTGAGAAGATTTTGGAGGTGCTAATGATCAACTCTACAAGTGGACCTGGTCTTTTGTTCCCAAAGGTACCAATTACAAACAACTTCCATATTAGTTATTGTTCATTTTGTGTTTGATCTTATGATTTGGTTATGTCTTATTAGGGTGGATGGGAAAATGATGAAACTGTTGAGGAGGCAGCTGCACGTGAAGCATTGGAAGAGGCTGGAGTTCGAGGGGAATTAATGGTGGGTTTAAGAATTCAATTTCTCCCATTTCCCTCTTTCTAACTTTATAACCACATCAATCAGTTTTTTGGATCTAATTTTTGTGTAACAGCATTTTCTGGGGCACTACTATTTCAAAAGCAAAACACTACAAGACGAATTTAGCCCTGAAGGCAGGTGTCGAGCAGCAATGTTTGCATTGTTTGTGAAGGAAGAGTTGGATTCATGGCCAGAACAGAGCCGAAGGGTCAGAAGTTGGGTCACAATACCCGAAGCAGTCAACTGCTGTCGCCACTCATGGATGCGTGAAGCTCTTGAAAACGCCTTCAAAAAATGGACTGCGGATGCTATGATCATATTAATGGAACACCACTAACTAACCGACTTTTATCTTTCCATAAAAAAAAAACATATTGTCATTTTGGCTTCTTCAACCATGTTTCTTGGTTTTTAACTGTCTTTGGGTGAGATTTTTTTTTTTTTTTAAATCAGTTTAAAGACTAGTGTTGACATTTGAAACTAGTGTTACCCTTTTCTTTCCTTTACTTTGGTTACCGTTTTCAAACTAAAGAAGATCGGGTTGAGTTGATTCTGTAACATACAAGATTTTCTTGGACAAAACAAGCCCGATGAAAAAGCTTTTGTGATAAAAATTTGAAGTTGAGTATGCAAAAGGAATAGTTACAGTTATAAAACATAAGTGGGAATATATAAATTTGGTATCTGATAATGTAAGGACCCAATTTTTTTTTGTTGGGATCTTTCAAACTATCATCTTGGTCTGTTATTATACTTTGAGAAGCATAAATATTTACAATCTACGTTTTTGGTTTAAAAAATTATAATATGTAATTTCACGTGATATGAAATGAATTTCTGTACTATGTCATGGGATTCGAATATTATCGGATAAAGTTCTTCATGTTATAATATGAAATACATATTTAACTTTGGAATAGCAGCACATAGAGTTCACACAGTATAGCCTGGAGTATACATATAATAACATTAAATTCACATATTAAAAAAAGAAGATAAGATTTAATAAACTGTAATCTGTTTCGGATCCAATGAACTGTAATCTGTTTCGGATCCAACGGGTGATCCAAACGATTACCTTAGAATCCAAACATATCCTCAAAAAATATCAAACATTTGGTCCATAAACAAATGTAAAACCCAACAAGGAAAGGGATACCAAACTAGGATGTGAAAATACGATAACAATGTGTAATAATGAGAGCAAAATGTATCATGATATAAAAAAAGAAAATGGAAAACAAATAAACTCATGGACACAAGCACTTTAACGTGGTTCCAGAATAATATAAGTATATTATTGAGAATAATATAAGTATATTATTGATTAGGATTCAGACTACATGAGTTTATTAAAAATAAAAATTTAATATCAATATTTAAACATTAAATTTTTATAAAATAACACTTTTACATACGATAATGTAATCTTTTGGAACATTTATAAAAGAAATCAAATATTCTTTAGAGCATTTATGAGACTTTATTATCAAATTAATAGAATAATTTTCTGTGGAATTTTATTTTAAAAAATGAAAAAACTCCTAAAAAATAACAAATAAAAAATAATAATTCTAAAATTTTCATAAAATTACATGTGACAAAACTCTGAAGAATTTGACAAATGGTAAAAAAAACCCTTCTTTTATTGGGTTAACAATTAAAGTGGGTTATAAATAACTCCAAAATGAAAAAACAAAACCCTTTGTCTTCAAAGAAATGGATAGATAGGAATGAGAAAAACTAGCAATAAAATTGTAATATCCGTTTTCAAGAGCTAGAAATATAGAATTTTTGGATAACTTTAAATTTTATTTAAACAAGTTAATAATACAAAATAAAAATTAATAAATTTATATAAAATAACAAAAAATAATCATATTATTAGTAAAAATGATAGTTGTAGTAGTTAAGAGTGTGTTTGGTTAAGAAATTTTTTCTAGTTTTCATGAAAATTTTCAAATGAAAATGAAATTTGGAAAACATGTTTGTTGATTCAATTTTCAAAAAATTTCCAAGAAAATGTAAATTTTCTGTTTTCCAAATTGTATATAAATTAGAAAAGTGATTTTTTTTATAGTTTTCTAAAGCTTTTTAATTTTCTAAGATGAAAAATAAAAACTCTACAATCTCCACCCAAACACGTTTTCTAAAATTTCCATTGAAAACTGAAATAAAAACTCAACTCTATTTTCTAAAAACATTTTTCTTGAGAAATGAAAATAGTTTTCCACAACCAAACACATCCTCAATGTTTAAGTTATTACATTTTGGGTTCAAGGATCGAAAGTGTCAAAACAAGGAAAGTGTTTGACGAAAGAGTGGACCCACTTATGGAAGGTTGGACTATTAAAGCATAATATAGACGAGGAAGGACTAGTTGGGTTAATATCCAAAGTTAAAAGTCACAAATATGTATAAGGGGGTGGTTTTAGTCAAATATACAATCTTGAGGGTAGAATTCAAAAATATGAGAAATAAGATGCAACATCCCCCTCTCGCTAACTTATGTGTCGATTTGGAAGATTAGAGCTCTCTCCATGGCGATTTTACTCTTCCATTGGTGTGTTGAAGTAATAGATGGTGATTTATTGAACAAGCATTTCCTCATCAAATTCTAGCTCTTGGAGCATATCTCAAACATAAAATGAATGAGAAAATAGGGATGGTAATTTTGAGGTTTTAAAAGGAGCCTTATGGTTGGAGTTTGAAGTTCAAATGAAGAACTGAATATATGAGTCAAAGCTTGCGAGGTGTAACGGTATAAATCCTCTTAATTTACATTGAAAATTTATGTTAGGGTTTTGGCTATGGAGTCAAATCTGTTTTTAACAAGTATTGATAGTTAGGGTTTTGTTTACCAACCCTCACTGAGTGTTTTATATGGTTCTAATTGTAGTTTTATCATTTGCTTGATGGAATTAATTTTACTCTAGATTGCAGATCGAGGATTAGGAAGTTGTTAAGACTTGTAAATAGATTCAATGATCATAGATATGGTTTTAATGCAATAAATCCATACTATTTGCACAATCCATTGAATGAAAGAATATAAAGCTTGAAAGTTAGAATTGGGGCTTCTATTGTTGAATCATGATCATATTGCAATTATCATGAGGGGCGTTGGGGCGAGGGGGGGGGGGGGAAGTGGGTAGCTGCACAAGGCCCAATTTTTATTCATTATATATTTTTATTTAAAAATAAAAAATTATAATAAAGACAAGGGCATTTTTCTTCTTGTTTGTCATGGGCCTTTAAGAATATCTAATTTTTTAAGACCGGCCTTGGTGATTATGTAACGTCCCAAAACAAAAATATTTTTATTTTTATTTTTAATTCATCAAATCACATAGTATTTGTCCTAAAACCCATCATAGTAACAAATGTATCATAATCATCAGAGTATAATAACAATTATTAGTGCGGAAAATCATCAGGGGGATAATGTTGTGCTGTAAAGCCAGACATTTCCCTTTAGAACCGGAAGTACCTCAAATATTCAAACCACGAAACCATAAACACAAAGCTTAGTGAGTTCCCCAAAATACCACATACCATACAAATGGCCCCAGCCCAACATACAAATGGGACCAAGACAACATGCAAATAGGCCCAATCCAACATAAATGAAAATAGGCCTAACCCAAACATACCAATAACCCCAACGCAACATACATACAAATGCAAGAGTCACAAATACATATAACATCCTACACAGTATAGTGAGAAGACCCACATTACTCACGAAATCAACTAAGAACACGGCTCACTACCACACGGATGGTGCTACGACCCACCTATTGAATCAAAAAAGGACCCACCTTAGTCTAACCTCTAAAACTAGTCATTTTGACCAAACGTCAAGACAGGTCAACAAGTCAACGATCAAGGTCAAAGTCAACGGTCAACACTTCCATTAGCTGACCCTCACATCGTGACCAGCTCATGGTTACGTCGTGGGAAAAAAACTCAACCCGGTCCTAACTCGATTACGAATCAACTAAGTCTCAGCTCAACTTAGTCTTGATCCAAACCATCGTCACGTCGTGATGTACATGTTATCACGTCGTGACGGAATCACTTCAAGTTAATCCGGGAAAACCCCTATCGTCACAGGAAGGGTGTCACGTCATGAAAGTTGGTTATTCCAACTTAATGGATTAAGTCATTTTCTATCGATTCAATGAGCTCCAAAGCTCATATCGATTCTTCCCAAGGTCTTAATGGATAAACTTTCCAACTTTATCCATTAGGACATCCCTCTAAGCCAATATCTTAATTCCAAGGTCCTTTAAGGCAACTTGATGCATGGAATCAAACATTAAGCACTTAATTCATAAAGTCTTCAATCCAGAACATCCAGTAGGGTTGTAGGGACCCTAACGATCCCTAAAAATGAGAACTTTATGGACAATGATGCCCCATGCATGTCCTTTCCCAAACCTAGGTTAAAAGAAGCAATGTGACCAAAAATCCATGCAAGGCTTCCAAATCACCATTACAACCTAGATCTATGAGATAATATACTCTCTAAAAAGGAGAACTTTATGGACATGCATGCCCCATGCATGTCCTTTCCCAAACCTAGGTTAAAAGAAGCAATGTGACCAAAAATCCATGCAAGGCTTCCAAATCACTATTACAACCTGGATCTATGAGATAATATACTCTTAGGACACAAAGGGATCATAAAATTGCAAACTTTATCTCTTCTAACCATCCCATCACCACAAATTGGGCCAAATATGGCATAGAGCTTAGATCTAAGAGGCATACAACGAAAATATGGGAGTTTGAGTGATAGGTTTTACATGTAATAATGCGGAAAAATTCCTTATACTCTTATGGTACATGCAACCTATTTTGATATGTGTCATAACACTATTGAAGCAACATACCACTCACCGAAAAACTAATAAACCTTATTAGAAATCAAATTCATAATCAAGAACACGTACCTTTTGTAGATCCCAATCAAGATAATTGAAGTATTGTACTCTCATTAGAAAACTTAGCTCTAATAGTGCGCGAGCCTCTAATGGTTCACACCCAAAATGCAAGAAACCGTAGGATTGAAGGAGAGAGGGGAAAGAGAAGGAGGATTTCGTTCTCCCCCTTTAGGTATAAGAGAGACACGAAAATTAGGTGCCCACGGGTTCTATTCATAGTCTAGGTAACTTAGGGACAAAGCATGATTTGAATGATTAAATAATATAATTAATCCTAATGTGACATCCCCAATTTCACGGCCAGAAAAGGCCGGTTTTGTTTATGCTTTGTTTGAAAACCAGAGTAATATTTTTACATAAAAGTGTTGCGGAATTTGTTCCCAAAACAAAATATGATAAGAATTTATCAAAGCATTTCTTTTATGCTTGCTTTTCAAAATGGTGATGAGCACTTGTGGAGGAGCATCTGGTTCATGTTTAGGTGTTGGTACCGAGTCGATGATAAGCAGATGTGGGAGTTTATCACGTCAGATTTTGGAGCTGACTCTTGTGATCTTCGGTATGGTCAAGGAGGGGATCAGGGAGACTTTGAATGAGCATTTGGGCACATATCGCACTGGGATTGTGGAACTGCTGGATGAGCGATTCGGGGCCTTTTGAGTCGAGGTTGCAACAGGTCAGCTCGGAGCTCGAACTTATTCTTTTCAAGAGTTCAAGGCATGTGGAGCTCCGAAGTTCTTTGGGGATAAGGACCCCATTGCTAGCCACCGATGTATCGCTGACATGAAAAATGTTCAACGAACGAGTTAAGGTGGGATTTGCATCTTGTATTCTGAGAGATCAAGCTTGAGATTGGTGGGAGTAGGTCGGTCGGGCTATAGGATTTATGGTTGTGGTGTCCATG